ATTGTATATAATATTGTATGATTATATATAATATATTCTATTATACATAATTATATTCTTGAGTATATACACTTTATGATAATATGAAAAATATGAAAAATATGAATATATGAAAAATATGAAAAAAATGTCAATATTAAATATGAAGTTTATTTCTTTTTCTATTTCAAAAAGATGAAATTCTATGTAACGATATACCTTTTGTGAACTTCACGAAACGCTCGGCTCAACTCCGGAACAACAGATAAAAGCAAATACGTTTTGCATGCAGTTTAAATGGAGTTGAAATGGCTCGCACAAGTTACCCTAATTGGTGGCGTGACTCACTGCCGTCTACCTTGAATTCGTCAAGATAAAATCAGGTATGTTTTAATCTTTTTATACATTGTGGGAACAATATAGAAACATAGGAATATATTCATTTGTAGTAATTTCCAATTTTATTTACATATAAATCCCAATACACGTTCCTTCTTTAAAATCTAATGGTATTCAAAAATCACTGTAGCAAAACTTAACAAATAGTAGAATAATGTTCAATTTTTGTCTTTTTCAAGTACAACATAATGATTTATGTATATAAAAAGGCACCATTAATAGTTTTATACCTACACCCTTGTACAATACTATATTAGTATTATAAAACGATAATTGAAATGAATACAAACATCATCGAGTAAAAGCAATATACGACAGAAAGAAATATTTTTGGTGAAAATCTAACATGTTAGATCAATAAAAAGTATTACATATCATAATTATGTATTTTAGTACGTATTTGTTATGTATTCGATAATCAAGTACGTTATGATACAAAAAGAAAGAGATGATTATATCCTCTTTACAGATTGGCTGATTTTCCCAAGGCGTTAATATGCATTCCACACTTGCGCAAGCCATCTGTTAATCGTTGAGAGAGATCGACGTCTACTCGAGCAAAGTTTCGCACAGCTCGTTCAACGATAAATGTCGAGGCATTACGCAAACTTGCGACCATATTCTGCACTAGTCTCTCTTTAGCTGGTTCGTCGAGAACCTTCTTCCAGAAAACAGCAGCCTGACCAAAGTCATCCTCATCCACGGGATCGTAACGGTCTACATCTCCACTCACATAGAACGGCGGCGAGCGAGCAGCTGGACATTCCTTTGGTCCGGAGAAACTATTAGGATGATAATTCGGTGCGCCGCCATGATTATGTATCGACATGTTACCATCCCGTTGATAGTGCATCGTGGAAATCGCCTACAAAATCAATATATTGCATTAATCAAGAAACTTACATAATATTAATATAAAATATATTTAAAAAAATTGTTTGCGTACAATATATAAACAGTATAATATATTAGTATATTATACACATACACGCACGTACGCGTGCTCAATTATGTATATATGTAAAATTTAATTTAATAATATAATTAAATATTAATATATATAAATAACTGTTTTAAAATTGAATATAACTTATGTTAATAACTTAAATCCGTTATTAGCTGCTTAAATAATATCTGATTTATTGTAAAATGATTCTTAAATATATAATTAAATATATAATTATATATATAAATAATTATTGTATGTAGGCAAGATGATATTTTTAATCTCTTTATATTAACGTCAATGTGTTTTTATATGAAATTTATAATATATATAAATATAAATTAAAAGTTATAAATTGTTCGATTTTTTACTGCTTGTGAGTAAAAATTATTTAAACCTATATTATTTATTTATGTTTTTTTTTTGAAGAGATAAAGGATTCTATCATCTGACTAAAGTATAAGATAAAAAACTACGAACTACTGCAGTCGTAATTATACAATTTATTTGAAGATGTTACAATATGTTACCTTGTAAGGACAGTTCACCGGCAGTTGGAGATGATTTGGACCCAAGCGATGCCTATGAGTGTCGCCATAGGCAAAGAGTCGGCCTTGCAACATCTTGTCAGGGCTCGGCTCAATACCGGGTACCATGTGCGCTGGATCAAAGGCCATTTGTTCTACGTCAGCGAAATAATTTTCTGGATTGCGATCCAGCACCAATTTGCCTACCGGTATCAATGGATAATCCTTGTGCGGCCATATCTATAAAAAAAATTCGTACAGTTTCAAAGAATATCTGTTTAAAATATCAAATAAATTAAACACATTACATAATAATTACTTTTGTCAAGTCAAACGGATTCCACTTTAAAGTTTTTGCTTGTTCAGCGGTCATCACTTGGATATATAATATGTAGGTCGGATACTGGCCCTTAGAGATTGCATTGTAAAGATCTCTGATCGAGTAATCGGGATCGGAAGCACTGAGCTCGGCGGCTTTTTGTGCAAGGATATTCTTAATTCCTTGATTAGTCTGAAATCATTATCAAATATTTATAATTGGATAACTATAACACGAATAGATGAAATGTTACTTTCTCAGTTTCAAAGACAGACCTTATAGTGGAATTTGCAATAGACCATTTCATTCTTGCTGTTCACTAGCTTGAACGTATGTGAACCATAGCCATTCATATGACGATATCCATCAGGAATGCCACGATCGCTAAAGAGGAACATAACTTGATGTGTCGTCTCGGGTCTGAGAGAGATAAAGTCCCAAAACATGTCAGCATCCTAAAAAAAAAATTTTATTAATAATATAGGCTCTGCAATATAATATGTAATTTAATTAGAAAGATAATTATCTTTTATAATGTAAGAAATATTTCACACGAATACATTTAATTGTTAGAAATTGCTACACTATTGCACTGTTAAACTGCGTTTTATAAATAATTGCAAATAATTGCAATAATTCAATCGAACCTTCAAATGAGTTGCTGGATTTCTCTTCTGCGTATGTATGAAACTCGGGAAGAAGAGGGGATCCTTAATAAAGAAGATCGGTGTATTATTGCCCACAAGATCCCAAATACCTTCCTCAGTGTAGAATTTTACGGCGAATCCACGTGGATCTCTAAATATAACAAATATAATAAACATAGTAATTAGGTAAACAAGCAAGAATTTTTTATTTCATTTTTATTGCGTATATATTACTCGATTTTATTTGATTGCGTAAATGCTACTTGAATTTTTATTTCATTTTTATTGCGTATATACTACTCGAATTAGTTACATTAGCTAAGCAAAACGCAATTCAGAAAAGCAGCATGCAATCCTTGTGAATCATGTTCCCGATTGCAACACATTGAACGATGGAAAGTTACTTTTTTACCACAAAAAAGATTTAAATGCGATTTGCGTTGTAGATATGCACATAACTAACTGGGGCAATATAAAGACGATTCGTGCATATATATTATATACAAGAAAAGTATTACATTATAAACATTTACAGTAAATATTAAATATATTTATATTTATTTCAATTATTTGAATATACAAAAAAGCAAGTGAGAGACGCAGTTACTTGCAAATATTTATTAAACCTGCTTCAAAGTTAAATAATATTCTATCACAGCATTGACATTTTTTCTATTTATTACCTGACAGTGTCGGCAGAACCACTTTCACCACCGACGGTAGAGCACCTTATAGCAATGGGAGTCCTCTTTCCGATGCTGGAAAACACTTTTGCTTTAGAATACTTGGTGATATCATGGGTAACTTCAAAATAGCCAAACGCACCTAAAAATAGAAAAAATTATGAAATTAATAATCAATTATGATAGAAATAGTAGATATCTATAGCTACATAATTATATGTTGTAAATTTTGTTATTAAGAAAAATGGATTCATTTCATAGCTAAAATAATGCAAAATAATGTAAAATAAGCTAAAACGCAATATGAAATATATATTCGTTGTATTTAATTAGTTAATTACAATATAAAAATAATTATTAAAAAAATGTTTACCTTTTGCCTGCACAAATTTGTTTAAATTATCAAGCTTCAAACTATCACAGCTTGTATGTCCCATGCATCACACAGCTTGTGTGATTTATAAATATCGATTAAAGATTGATTTGATGAAAGCAGTATCAATACTCGTTGAATAAAAATTTGAAGCTAAATCGTTTAAAGAAATTTGTAAAGTCAAAACATATGGACATTTATAATTATTTTTATGTAATTATAGTGTAACAACTATTTATATATTGTAATTGGTCAATTACAATGAAATTACAATTACGCATTTATATTCCATGCTGTTTTTGATTTTTTAATTATAAAATAAATCCATTTCTCTATATATTTTTATAAGTAATAGAATTTATCACATGACTAAAAATACATATTGAATATAATGATAAGATATATGCCACATTAAGTATTGACATACCAGCACCCTTCGCATGGACAACTCGTTCGGGAATTCTTTCTCTAGCAAAATGTGACATTTCGTCCAGGTAAACGAAGTCTTGTATCAACATGGGTCCACGAGGACCAACCGTGAGACTGGCTTTTTTCTCGGCGATGGGCGCTCCATTGGCAGTTAATAATACGGATGCTTCTCCCTATAAAAAATAAATTCAAAAAATTTATAAACGATTAATTATAATCATAATTGTTAAAATAAATTTGTTCATATAGCGCAGTTAACATAAATACTGACTTTACTTAACTGACAGCAAATATATCATGCAAACTTATATAAAAGATTATATAAAAGATTTGTGCTCCGGCCATAAGTCTTGTTGTCATACGGTTTCAATATCCGAAATGTTTGAATCCTTTTTATCGCCTTCTTTAGTTCAGGGAACAAAAAGAAGTCTATTATATAGCAGTAAGATTAGGAGAGTAGGGAGAGTGATTCAAAACCGTCATGCAACGCTAACTCAAGAATTGCTATTTTGAATCAGAATTGTGTGACAATATGTCTTAAGGCGATATTAACATGATTTTTCACATAGTTATTTCCGCAAGCTATACGAACATTGTCAGAAGTGTATTATCTCTAAGAGGAAATAATTATCTCTAAAGGACAATAAAAGTCATTTTTACATTAAATAAGTAGTATTTATTTTCTCATAACATTTATTGAACTTTATTGCCACCAAGTATATTAATTTTTAATTATTATACATAGTCAACATATATAATTAAAACTTATAATTTAACTAATAATTGGCTCATATTTTAGAAAGATAATAAATAAGAATAAGACCGATATACAAGTTGGCAAGCGCAAATATCCGATGATGCATTACATAACAATGTTACAGATAACGAATTTTTTTCATTCTAAATATAAATAAAAGATAGTGAACATATATATGTATAAATCAATCGACTTATACGCATGTTTACTATATTTTATTTATACTTGTTTTACGCTTGTCGGTTTGTCTATTAACTATGTATCTTTTAACAATAGCTATATTACACAATCGGAAGTCTTCCTGTGCGTCTGATTAGGCTTTTTCTTTTTTTTCCCAAATGCAAGGAAAAAACCGCGACGGACTTTCGCGCAGCCTTCGTACTCACTACTCATTTTGCTAATGACTAATCTAAGAACAAGCGCAAAACTTTTTTATAAGTATGATAAACATCCTGATAAAATCTTAATATGATAAAAATAACCTTGTCCATCGTAGGTGTGCAATAGCACTTTCGAAATCTTATCTATTATCTAAGAATTGGCGACTAGTTACAGCAATTATCATCCGTGACTGAAATACCAGTAGTGATATAATCGTTACTCTTTGTTATTCGCAACGTTTTCGTTTCCTTTTTTTTTTTCTTTAATTGCAAAACGCTAGTTTCGTTGAGCAAGCAATTGCTGCTAACTGTTTATCGAAAGTCAGGAGATAACTGTGTACTAGAACATATTAAGTGCAAGGAGCATCGTTAAGTTCTTCTGCATCGTAAACAAATGTTGTTACATAATATTTCGTCATATCTTTCTAATGTACACATGAATCTCTCTATATGATAAATATTTTTTTTATTTAACAGCTGTCATACTGTTATAAAGAATATTATTCCTTTTATATCGTATATTTTATAACGTTACATTAAAAAAATTTCTCTTTTTACATGTATTAGAACATTTTTCACAAATGCTGAAAATTTTTTCTAAAATTCTTTACATATATATACGTTCAATAAGATTCTTATTGATTAATTATAATCAGATTTGTTAATTCTATTTATAACTAATATTAACACTATACCAATAAGAATGCTAAAAGAATGTTTTCTTTACACTCTTCACTTGCGTGTTAGACAAATATAAAAGACAGATATTAAATGTTTTAAATCTATATATATATATTGGTATAGAAAAAAGTTCAAGGCGTTTTTCCCGTTACATCTAATGAAAAAAACGCCACGAACTTTTTCTCACACCTAATATATATCGCATCAACAACGCACATATTTTTCATTACGCAGTATTCAAATTAATTATCAGCACTGTGTTATCAGATTTAACAAGATAAACATAAGTTTGATATTTAACAAAAATAAATATATTTTTACACAATAATATGAAGTTTTTTATTGAAAAGAAATGACTAAATACGAAGAAGGTAAAAGACAAAGAATAAAATTATTAATTTAGAAATATAAAGAGACAAAATAATGTAAAATTATTAGGCAATAATTAAATAGAAAAAATAAATAGAATTTAAGTTGAATGAATAATTACAATTCTAACATCCTAGCTATCATATGAACATATTTACATTTTCTTTATAACGTAACTCAATATATATTGTTTTTAATCATCGTCCTCAACTTGATGCACTCAGCGCATTCGTTGCTCTTTTAAAATGCAAATTATATGCAGTTAAGCTTATTTTTTTTTAATGTTTCACTTGAACGCTACGAGGAGGTGTGTCGCGCTGATACTGTGTGTTGCGAGATAAATCGATTTGAAAATTTAATCTACCATTTTATTTATTTAATCTGGTAGATATGATTATAAAAAAGCCTTTCCTCTGGACAATATTTAACTTATCTGGATCTGCACTTTATCACGCCACAGTGATACAGCTTTATAGTTATTTTCAACCGTATCTATTAAAACATATATATTTTATTTTGTAAAACGAATCGTTCTAAATAAAAAAACCAAAACTAATGTGACATGCACTTTTTAATTATAACTTACGTAATAATAATAATAATAATTAATTTCTATGATTTTAATGTTCAAAGATATACGGTAAAGCTCGCGAATCACGGAAAGAATGTTAGCGCAGAGAAGTTTCGAATGCGCTGTACGGAGATAAATTGCAATTGCGTGCAATGCAAATGCATCGTGAACACTTTACACGTTTTATAATTTTTGCCTTTTTCTTGAATCCTTGAACAATTCTTTAATTGTCAAGTGAATGTCCCCTCGGCTATTCCTGAGTTTTGCAGAAGAAACGTAAATTACAAAACATACTTCGTTTCCAGATTCAAGTTGAATTAATTTCAAGAATTCTTGCAAAAACACGAGCTTATTGAGACAAGTTTTGCGTGAGGAATGCATTTCGTAAAAAACTACAAAATTTATATTATTGAAAATTATATTATTTAAATTGAAATTGGATATATTATTTAAATCATAATATCAAGAAATTCTACAATAAAAAACGACTTTTGGAGTGCTGCGTGTCATACTTAATTTTTATATAAGTAATATTTTAATATCATAGATATTATATATTCCATAGATATTATATATTCCAATATAGCTGTATTCAATACTCAACATCCAAATTTCTTCATGTGAATAAACTGTATGTATCGATTTCTAATTAATAAGTTTCTTATCATAGCACTTTACCCTCAAAGTGATAAATATGATAAAGAAGCTGACATTAGCGTTTTACTCAACGTTTTTAGGATAATGATATTTAAAGCAAAATTAAACATTTCAAAACAAAACAAATTTTCTAAAATAATACAAAAATAATACAAAAAAATTAATCGCAGAGATCAAAAACTACTTCACGATATCAATTAGGAATGCACCGGATATCCGGCAATCCTTCCTGAATATCCGATGCATCCCTAATATCAATATTATTCCTTTGAGAATTACCTACATAAAATTTATTTATCGCTTAACTTTGTTGTGAAAGACTGCGAATTTATGCTGCAAGTATAATCTAGCCTTCAAAGTATTAACATAGCAAATATATTCCTGCACAATATGCGCAAATCGTATAATATCATTAATTATACGATCGTGTAGTTTATTCGATGATCAGAAATTCGAAGTATACAATTTTTCAAGATGTCAAACCATTATCCGCAATATAATTATGAAACATTGATTACTTTTATTTACGCTTATTGATTTAATTGATTATTGCATTGTCTTGTTATATAGTGTTTCTTTATTGATAGAAATAAAAATAGCATTTCTGGTAATGCGTTGAATTTATCTTAATGTTGTTTATAATATTATAAAAATATTAAAAAATATTAAAAAAGAATCATAATGTTATTAAAAAAAAATAAAAATTCTTTTTTAAAGATTTTCTATTTTTTTTAAATCATAAGTTATAACTTGCGTGAAATAAAAAAATGTTTTTTTTACAATTTTTTGTTAATAGCAAATGCCTCAAAGATCGTCCGTCTGTTTTTCATTGGTGAACTCTTTGAATTGATACAAACGGTGCAATAAGTTGAAATAAAAATATAAGTTGAAGTAACAAATATATATTTATTTCATTTTAATTTATTGCCGAGTGCCAGTTCAAAGAGTTCATCGATGAAAAACAGACGGTGTGTTGTAAATCTTTACGATAAGCATCTTGTATCATAAAAATATTATAATAATAATACGAAGATTATAAACATTCAGATCTTAATGTAATTACGAGAAAATTATTAAAATGAAAAATATAAAATGAATAATATATGAATGAAATAATATTTATAGAAGTACTCACTTAATAAGTGCATATCAGCGGTCATCTTGATAGAACTTTGAACGCTTAGTTCGGTATATCATTATTACCATGCACATTTACTTTTTAGTACGAGCTGATAGTCATTATTCAATATGTGTACGTACATAGAATTAGCAACATAATAAAAAACGCTGTAAAAAATATATATTTGAATACTTTGTACTTGATTTATAAAAGCAAAATCTAGCGATATATACAGTAATTTTTAGTACGATTAATTACAAAATAATAGTTTTTAATGATTTTAAGATATATAATTCTTTCTCTTAGAACTATTTGACCGAATCAATTCCTTGCTCAAATATAAAAAAAACTTTAAAGAAGATTGATAGAAGGTGATTATTTGAAAATTTCGAGATTTTCCTTGTAAGTGAATGTATTTCTTTGCTTAAATTCTTTCCAGATCCATATTTATTATGGAATCTATGATATGCTTCTATATAATTTTTGCCTCTAAGATAGAAAATACTTAATGAAAAACATCTTTCCTTCCATAGTTACTATGTTCATGCTAACATTCATAAACTGATTTGTACGTCTCAAATAAAATTAATGAGTCTCAAATATTCGATCTTAAAAACGATCATTAAAACGAAGAAAGGAACGATATAATGATTTACTTTCAACACAATCCTAATGATTATCTTGTATTGTATTATAAATATTTTGATTGATAACGTAAATATCGTAAATTTCCACCTACCTTTTATCAGTAGTAACGATTATTTATCGAATCAACATCCATTATAATTAGATATCAAACTTTATGGAATTTAAAATTCTTCAAAGAATTAATTCTTCAAAGAATTTATACAAAGAACAGCATTGATTTCGATAAGAATTTAAATATGAAATTATAAAGTAACAAGGGTCTTGTTGTGTATTACTACATCGTATAGTATAAAATTACTATCGGATAATAGTAAAATTTTTGGACCTTTGCACTTTTTTTTTACATAAGATGTACGCAATATGCGAGTGTATTATGTACATATGTATTATGTGTATTTTATTTAGCAAAACATCTTTTACTTATGTAAGAGATATGAGTTAAAATGATAAAAATGAAATTCAGAATTTTATTTTCAATTTCATAAACTGTAATTATTTAATCAAATAAATGTATAGGATGATCTGTTAAATATAGAATGCATTGAATTCTGAAAACACTCATTTCTTCCTTAGTGAATATTTAAACGACTGTGCAACAGTAAAAGAAGAAAATTCTGCTAAATCAAGAAATTCAATGAACATTTTGTAATGTTTTGTTTTCATTTTATTTCTTTTGAATTGTGGAAAAAATAAAATAAAAAGAAATAATATAAATTTCAATCAATAAAAAAAAATACAAGTAAATGTAATATTTTCCAAATATGTTCGTTTTATGTCATCAGATCTATTTTCTAATGTTATGCGCATATCGTATACGATTGCGCAACAGTATCCTTTTTTTATATTAAAAATGATATCTCTCGCGAACAAACATTATTGCATCCATTGAAAAATAGCTAAATCATTTTCGCTTCGGTAATCAACGACCACCTCATACATGCATACAAAGTGACATTAAAAAAGTTGAAATCTGAAATAGTGGAGCTATTAATTCTAATCTTTGAAGCAATAACTGCGATTAATCTTGCATGACAAGACGAAGCTGATATTTCATGTGTTATATTCAGACTTGTTGATTGGTTGCAGAATAGAGAAGTTCTCGGATATTTCTTTCTAGAGCCAATAAAACACGCTGAAGTTTATTTATTTACGATACATGAAATGTCTGCCGATTACGTGGTATGTCGTGCAACATACACGCAAATAAAATAATGAGATCTTAGGATCTTACCTTGAGTTTCTTCTTATAATCGTTCAACTGTTCCGAAGCGGGATCCCTCACTGGATAGGCCATCTTGCCAGTCGATTTCTTGCCGTTACTGTAAAACCTTTCAATCGAAGATATGTAAAACGTGGAATTGAATACGGTGCGCTTTACAAGTATAGATAAGCCTCCCAGGTATTTTGTGGCGACTGGAGAGCGGCGACGAAGACAAGCTTTTATCATGTCTGAGCGGGACGCGGGGAACCGGGAGAACGAGAATGATGAATGGGTGGGAGCGTGCGAATAGTAGCAACTTCGCATCGATGGGAGAGAAGCGGTATTATTCGAAAAAGAGTCGACTCGAATCCGAACACGCTCTCAACATACTTTAGCTCGATCTCTGCACAATTCTGTTTAATCATATTAAATAGAATAATCAGTCTAATTTTAAATATAACATTTTCATTTAAAGATGATTTGGCCAACTATTTATAATCGACTAATTTAATCAAGGATTAAATTAATTGAATTGTTTCATCTTTCGGTAAACTTCAGCTCACCGTCTTACTCTCCTGCCGAGTCTATTTTATATCTGAAATTTATATTATTACATTAATATGATAATTTATTTTATTTTCAAAAAGAAGTCTTTTTTGTTCAAAGATGAATAGATTTTATACTTGCATACTTGAAGAAGGCAAGTATACAAAAAATAAATATTATGTTTTATTAAATTCAAATAATTTGCTCTTTATCTGCTTTTATTATAAATCTTTTCTAAATAATAAAGTAATTATTTATTGCAACATTATATCGCAGACGAATATTTTGTATGTTGCAAGCTGCATTATTGTGTAACACTTGCGTATATTTTTTATATGATTCACGATAATTTTACGATCTTCTTGTGTATATGCTAAATAATCGAATTTCATGGTGAATAATTGTGCTTATTGTTAGTAATGACAATTAAAAAGTTACAAAATAAAGCTAAAGAAATATTGAAAATTAACCAAACAGAGAAATTATATAAGCATTCTAATTAGGTGAAATAACATGCGAATAATTTGTACTTATAATACGTATGATATATCTTAAAATATACATTATTACACAAATTGTATCATACTTATCACTAGTTGTTCAGAGTATTACTAAAAATTACCCGCAAGTAATTTTAAGCAAATTCAAGCGAGCAGCTTAACAGTTACTAGATTGCATTTTGTTTAATAAAAATAGAATTTCATGCCATTTGTGAAACTTCGCTAATCGCTCTGTGATCAAAAATAGTTCAAGGAAACATAACAAATCGATCAACGAATGCACGGAAAAGTCAATATATACACATGCATAAATAAATTCCAATCTCCTAAAATTATTAAAAACATTTTAATCACATAAAATTAAGCATACAATTAAAAAAGAAATAAGCATGATGTAATAACACTTCTTATTACATCATAGAAATAAGTTAATATATCAATTATAACACAGCTAATTAGCTTATATAAACTTTTTTTCAATTTAAAAAAGTCAGGACAGTGTTTTCATGCATTAACTCCAGTGAAACTACGGAGGGAGTTAGCAAGTGATTTAATTTCGTAACTTTGTTTATTAAACCCGTTACAACGCCACCTGAGCCAGGTACAATTCCGAGCTCGACATTAAAAGCCGGCTCGCGCGATAATGCGCAGCCCTCTTATCGCACGTGTCTAAAAATTGCCGTCTAAATCGCACCGCTTCATTGGTGGGAATTTACAAAATTTGATCAGTCCAGATATCAATTGGCTCAGCCAAGAATTAAAAAGAAAAAAGGAGCAAATATTCCTTTTTGAGGCATAATTTTCGTTGTAAATAATATAAATAACATGATCAGATCATCGTTCCACTTCTTTGGTAGCGTACTAAAGATGGAGCTAAATTTGAGAATAGAGGATACAGGTCTTATGTATTTGTAAAACAATTCTACTCGCCCGCGAAAGAAATTAAATAATGGATCTATATAACGACGCTATATAAACATCTTATTATTATTTACATCATTGGCGAGTTTCTCCTAATAATTGTGTAAACCGCTACGTTTCGCTGAGCACAAT